TGGAAGATCCCCTCGCGGACCCTGAGGCAGCTCATGGAGCATTTTGGATCCGGCATCGACTTCCTCGAGGTCGTTTCGGACGGAGAGCATGTCAACTTTATTGGTACAGCAGAGAGAACGACAAATGGAGACGGTATGTTATGTTGTCATAGTGGAGTGGATCTAGCTAGTGTCCATGCTAAACTGGTCCCAGAGGTCCTCAAGAAACCCTTACACACGTCTATCGCCATAGAAGTAGACGAGTTCGAAGATATTGAAGTCGAAGAGAACCTCCGCATCGTCATTAGCGTCAAGGATTTCCGCGCCATTATCCAACACGCTGGCATCGCTGGTACTCATCTTTCCGCCAAATACTCCGCGCCAGCCCGTCCTATTCAGTTCGCATACCAGGGCGACGGTATCAATTGCGAATTTCTCCTGATGACGGTCGGTGAGAGGGGCAACCCGGGACAGAAGACGAAAAAGGGCAGGGCCGGCAGCAAAGCCCCGCCCCGGCCGCAACAGCAACTTGAGGCTGCCGCCGGATCTAGGAGACAGAGCGCTGCGCCTTCCGAACCACCCGAACAGCCTGCCGCCCAGATCATGCCGCCACCGCCTCCAGCTGCGTCTGCTGCTCGAATCGGTGCTGCTAGGACGTCATTGTTCGATCTCCGGCCATCTCAACGACCGCCTCCCGCTAGTATACGGTCCGAGGGGTTGTTTGTGGACGACGACCAGTGGGAGCCCGTCAGAGACGAGGAGGATGAAGAGGCTGAGGAGGATGCAAGGTTGGAGTGGGATCATAGCAACCAACCCGTACGTCTCCGAACGCGCCCCACGACTATGTTTGCTGACACGCTGCAGAACCAATCCATCATGCATCTAGACCGTGGTGCTACCCATCAGAACGGCGAGATCGATCCGGCACCTGAAAGCAGCGCAGGCCTGGCGCCTACACAACCCCTAGATGATGTCAGGCGTCTGGGGTTGTTCTACCGAGAATAGAGGAGGAAGTCGAACGAGTAGCGTGGCATGTTGCAGTTCAGGAGTTGTATCTGTCCGGTGATGGGGGCAGTGGCCGATTTGCTCAACCGGTGGTGATAGTCACCCAGCTAGTAGCGCAGCCTGCGCCGATACCCGTGATCTTCGATCCAGGGGGAATGAATCTTGATGATGCAATGACATTCCATCGTCCCTTGACGTCGTTGTTCTCGACCTGCGGGCCGCAGTTCCCATGCTCTCCCCATCCCCACGCAAGCACATCGCCCTTGTCTGTGAAAGCAATGACATGCTCGCTTCCGATAGCAATCTTACTCAGCTTGGGAAGACTCGGTGGCGGTAGCTGTCCATGGTCGTCTCGTCCCCAAGCAAGGAGCTCCCCGTCTTTCTTCAACACGTAGACGCTGCCCCAGCTTGCTCCGACGTCCTGCCACTCCGGCATGGTTTCAGGGGCTGATGACTTGATGCTCCATTTGTCGGATCCGAGGATTAGCAGCTTGCCCGAATCAGGTGCGCCGAACAAGCAGCTAAAGTCCTTTCCGCAGACAGCCCGAGTAACTTTAAAGTCGACGCCCTCGATCTTCCTGGGCGAGTGTATGACAGCCTCAGGGCTTCCAGCCTGGCCTTTGCGCACGTTACCCCACCCATACGCCTCCCCGTTGCTCAAGACCGCGATGACATGTCCCATGCAGCCTGCCAAATCCACGACTTCAGTGCCTGTCGGTGGGAATTCCTTGAACAGCGTAGCGGAAGGCGAACGGACGAGCAACTCCCCCAGGCCGAGTTCACCCTTCAATCCCGCACCAAAGCTGTACACTTTTGTCGCCTTGCCTTCACCATCGTTTTGGACAATAACCGAGGCTTCCCAGGTGGCAGCAACAAGGGCAGTCGTAGCATTGTTCTCCCCGCCGTCCTTGCTCAGCTGAATCTTCTGGAAGACAGGTTCCTGAGTCTCGGCCGTCGAAGTCAAACCGCACGCCCCGCTCGTGGCATCCCCACTCCACCAAAGCTGTCCGCCCTCAGTCAGAAGCAAGGTGTGATTTCCTCCAGCAGCGACCTTAACCACGGGAGACTCTGGCTCGTCAGGGTAGAAAATAGCCTGCTTGGGGACCGACACGTCTTCTTTGTGGCCGATTCCGAGTTGGCCAGATCCATTGGATCCGATTGCAAAAAGTACCGACATTTCGGGAAATTCTGTGTTTGCGTTGGTTCAAGCTCTTAATGAGATGAGCTCCTGCAGGTGTAGCTTCAATGTGGATATGACGACAACCAGAAACATCGCAATAACAGAATTCGTCCCCCACCAGTTTCTTCACATGCAACTAAGCAGCTCAATGGAGGGGACCCTTTTCCTCGGCCAATCATTCCCGCGTCCCCGGCGGCCCTCTGCCGTCTCCACACCCACCGGCGCGAGATCAAAAAGCGGAACTCGAACCGCGTGCAACTTTTTTCTTCTCCTCTGCATCCCACCAAACAGCTTCAGCTTTCGTTTCTCGGTCGTGACTCAGCGCCCCCGAAACCAAGCTTTCAAGCGAAAAAAGTTTTCCTGGTCTTGCTCAGGATGTGAGAGCTTGCTTCGCGCAGACTTTTGCAGTCTTGACAGAAAACTTCCAGCACCAGAGAGCATTCGTTTACTTACCCAAACAGAAACAAACACTCATCATGGCATCTTCCTCGACTCCCAACACGCCGCAGGCCATACCCGCCGAGATGGAAAATTTCGTGGTCGGCTTGATAGGCATGGGAGACATGGGGAAGATGTACGCGCAGAGGCTTTCTGCCGCTGGATGGAAGTGAGTAATTGGTTCACCTCTCCTGTCCCAGCTGGGCCTCTGCGCAACGCGATTTCTTCTGGTAAGATTCACATTCTCTTTTCTCTCACGCAAGGCAACTTGCTCCCCTCCCCCTTGGTAATGATGACAAGAGCGCATTTGGCTAGAGTATCGCCCAAGGCCTTGCTGGCAAGCCATTCTGGCCCCGGCTATGGCTGAAGGCTTTCCATGATGATACACCTAGCTACCTTAACTTTACTTTGTCTGAACCTTCACCTCAAATCTGCTTCATTACAAGCTCTCATGATCGAAGCAAACGAGCTAACAATTGCTCCCAGGAAACTCGCAAGCATGCCCTTACTTTTGCTACACACCTGTTGGCGCTAGGAAATGAGGAAAATGTCGGGAGGAAACAAGAGGCTAACGTCGCGGGTTCCGGCAGGATTATGGCGTGTGACCAGGAGGAAAAGTACGAGAGCCTGAAAGAAGAGTTCTCCGGAAACGTATGGGAGCTCCTGCCTGCCCTTCCGGTCAACGCACCCGCTGAGCCATGTCCTCTCTTGAACTATAGAACAATATACAAATTTGCCGAAATGGACACTACGTCTCCCGAGCCAGCGACTACATCATCTACAGCGTTGAAGCCGCCGCCATTGACCGCGTGATCTCCCAGTACGGACCATGTATGCCTTGCCTTCACCACCAGCTCCTGTCCCTCGTTCCCCCCAGTCTAACCAATCTCCGCGACAGCAACGAAACTAGGCGCCATCGTGGGCGGCCAGACATCATGCAAAGACCCCGAGATCAAGGCCTTTGAGCGCCATCTCCCCTCGGACGTCGACATTGTCTCCTGCCACTCCCTCCACGGCCCCAACGTCGACCCGCGCAACCAGCCCCTCGTCATCATCGCCCACCGCGCCTCTCCGCTCTCCGTCCAGAAGGTCGAGACCGTCCTCTCCGTCCTAGGCTCCAAGCACGTCTACCTCTCCGCCCACGAGCACGACCGCATCACCGCCGACACCCAGGCCGTCACCCACGCCGCCTTCCTCTCCATGGGCAAGGCCTGGCACGCAAACACCCAGTTCCCCTGGGAAATGTCCCGCTACGTCGGCGGCGTCGAGAACGTAAAGATCAACATCATGCTGCGCATCTACTCCCAAAAGTGGCACGTCTACGCCGGCCTCGCCATCCTCAACCCCGAGGCCCGCAAGCAGATCTCCCAGTTCGCCCGCTCCGTCACCGACCTCTACAAGCTCATGCTCGAGGGCAACGCGCCCGCCCTCCGCGCCCGCGTCCTCGCCGCAAAGGAGAAGGTCTTCGGCCACGACGGCAGCCCCAAGTGGGCCGACCGGCCCCTCCTCAACCCGGACCTGCTTGAGCGCTTCTCCCTCGGCCGCAAGGAGGACCAGACCGAGCCCCCGCGCGCCAACAACCACCTCTCGCTGCTCGCCATGGTTGACTGCTGGGCCGAGCTGGGCATCGTGCCGTACGACCACATGATTTGCTCGACGCCCCTGTTCCGGTTGTGGCTCGGCGTCGCGGAGTACCTATTCCGCAGCCCTGAGATGCTTGACGATGCGTTGAGGACGGCGATTGAGGATCACACGTACCGCAGCGACGACTTGGAGTTTACGTTTGGTGCGAGGGGTTGGGCGGAGTGTGTCTCCCAGGGGCACTTTGAGACGTGGAAGAACCGGTTTGAGACGACACAGCAGTTCTTCCAGCCGAGATTTAAGGATGCTGTTGCCGTTGGCAACGCCATGATGAAGGCCGTGTTGGAAAGTACGAAGGACTGAGGGCTTAGTTTGGGAAATTGAGACGTAGGAGTATGAGACAAGAGACTGAGCTTGCGGGGTTTTCAATGCCGGTTTTATTAGGAGAATTTCATCTGGGAGCTCCCACTCGGGAAACCAAGATGTTGTCGTGAAAAGATGCATACCCATTACAAAATGATGATACGGATCTATGACTCGTTCTATGGAACCTGCAGAGGCGGCGTAGGTTACAATCTGCATTCTGCTGAGTATTTCTGCCCACTATCCGTGATTGAAAGAATACAGGCGACATTCCGCTAGCAAAAAGGGTATCTCTCTCCATCCAACGCCGAAACAACCAAAACCACGGTTACATCCACTTCGTCAACCAACAACTAGCGACGGACACGAACGGGTCGTCTCGCGGCCGCCTATCGTGTCGTCGCTTTCAAGGATCAGTTTGACCATCCGCAATGAGAGCGTTCCTCTTCTGCGCTCAAACTTGGGTCATCACATCCGGCACGTGTAACTCAACGCTCTCTTCCAACATGGCGACTCCGTTCTGAACCTTCAGCGGCTGGGCTGAGAACTTGCCCTCCTCTTTCTCGTGCTCTTCCATCGCAGTGGTGATGTCAGCGGTCGTGTTGCCCGCGCCAGAAGGCAAGCTGACAGACGCATTCGCGCTATCATGCATGGACGAGTCGCCATCCAACGACTCTCGGCGTCCAGCTTGGGCAGCGAGGTTTGGAGAACCGGGAGATCGGGGCAAGGGAGGCTGTGGGCTTGGGTATGGCGAGGATGTTTCGGGGTTGCGAAGTCTGGTAGGTAGATCGATCTGCATGTTCAGACTTGCAAGACGTGACTCGAGGTTATCTTCAGTGCTCGAAGTGTCTCGGCTGGCTGTCGATGCCGGAGACGTGGACGTAAGAGAAGGAGCCGTCGACTGCAGATGTGTCAGAAATTGCGCATACTTTCATTTATGATACTCACGGCAGTCTGCGAGCGAAGACCCAGGTTGGCGACTACTTCAGGATGGCAGATCGGCCTGCGACCGAAGTGATGAAATCCCCAACCAGTCGCAGCCGTCGCGGGAACGTCGCCGTTAGCGATACTGTCGAGGCTGAGATACGCTCTGTCTGCGCCACCAGGGCGACAGCAAGGACAAATTCTGTACTTGCACCCCTCTCTCGGATTCGGAACCCAAGGTTTGGCGCTCTGGGTCAAGAACTCGGCCAAGTCGGACGTATTGGATTCTTTGACAGTGGCTGCCGTCTTGCGATCCGACTCTTGCTGAAGAACTTTGGCAAGCTGGATCATGTCAGTCCCCGAATCATACCCAAGTAAGTGAGGGTCACTGACATGCTTGCGTTGGTTGAAGATGGTCATAAGCTGTTCGCTAGTGTACGTTTTGGCAATAAATTCAGGGGACATTTCCTCGAGAAAGTTCGCTGGGTTTGTGGCCCGCTGCTCTGGTCCGCGAAGCCTGGGTTTGACGGTATTGACCATGTCACGGCCCAGCTCGTCAAAATTGCACTTTCCTCGTCAGTCAAATGGCTTTTTACCAAGTCCTGGGCACCTACCTCTTCTCCGCGGCAAATGGCCTCGCGAAGCAACTCCTCGTGATCTTGAGTACAACAGTACAGCCAGCCCAAGGGGCCAAGGTTGCCACAAGAATCGCAGCGGAGATGGTAGCTATAGACGCGGATCAACGTGACGTGAGTGCAGGCCGCGTAGGTTCGCGTCTGACGGGAGGAACCTTTCGAGCCCGTCTTGATCTTGGTGCCAGCCATCACGATCTCGAGGAAATGGGCGTCGGATGGTAGTGGCGGGTATTTGTAGGAGGTCCGTAGGTCAGGTTGTCATTTGGTGATACTCCAAACCCAAAAAGTCCCGGGAGGAGCGAAGAGTCAACAGCCTCAAGGAGTTGAGAAGGAGCATACTCGGGCCTTGGTAGGAGGTGAGGTGGAAAAACTGAACTTCTGGGTAGGAGCACCCGCTCCAACTTCACATTCACTAGAAGGCGAAATGCGATGACATCGTGCTTTCATCTTAAAGTGCAGGAGCTCCCAAGTCCTGTCACCATCCGCCTTCTTTGTTTGAACTGCACATTTTCCTGCCCGTGATGCACTGCCCAAACCCTCAGATATTTACGCTACCTTATTATATATTGATAGAGCAGACGTAATGGCGCTTGAACTCCATTAAGCAATCTCGACCGGTGGTTTGACGTCTCCATGTAAGCTTCTGGTGCCATTCAGCATCGCTTTCCAATCTGCTGTGACATTGGCATATTTTTCATAACTATCGGCAGGCTGACATGTATGAATGACATTCCGATGCAAGAAACAATACTCTCACGCATTACTTGTGGGCTTCTGTAAAGCTCTCGAGGATGTGACTCATGTTAGTCGTTGCGAAACCTTTGGGTGTTATCGCCGTTGGGCTCGACTCTCCCACCGCTACTTGCTCAGGTTCTCTTACATCGATGTTATCCAGCTCTCTGATATCATTTTGCTGCACCCGGACGCGTACGGTGACACCTTGGTTGCCAATGATATCCGCTATTCGTTTCCACCGGCCGGCAGATGGACGAATTTGTCGACCAACATGCCACTCTTGCTGAAGAACCAAGGGCATCCACAATCTTTTGCATATGTTTGACAAGGTTATTCGTCTAGGTAGAGTGCGGATTTCGCCATAGGCGAGAATATGTCACCAATCGCATAGCTCGCCGAGGTAAGGAAGTCTGCTTCTTCCAATCGCCTTGGCATGTCGAACAATGCTAACGCAAGCCCAGGACCACTTTAAGTATTCTCCGTGGAAAGCAGGTTCGAGCTTTAAAACCTGAGGCTCGTTGATGTTGACTTGATATCAGATGTCACACCCCAGGCTCGCTTATCATTCTGACCCAGCCCATCATCAGCACACACAAACTTCGTTTCGATGAAGAAAAAAGTTTGGTGTAATTTTGCGAGGGTGCCAAGCTGGTGGGATGCAAAGCGGGAAGAGAATGAGTGGTTCAGACGACCTTCGGACGATTCGGCATCTCCAAAGCATGAAGCTTGATCATTAAACCATCATTTTTGGGGAAGGGTTCACTAGGGGTCAACCCAGCACAGACAATCACTGCCGGCAAGTGCAGGATTCCAGCGTCTGTCAGGATGAGCTGGCGTGCGTCTGTCCGCTGCCCCCCCCCAATTTTTTTTTTTTCTGGCTGGCCGCTGTCCCCTCCTCGGGAAGTGAAAACAGANTTTTTTTTTTTTCTGGCTGGCCGCTGTCCCCTCCTCGGGAAGTGAAAACAGACCTCGGGCCATTGGCTAAGTGCAGCCAATCATAGCTCTCAGTTGACACACCCCTGCAGCTCCGTCCAGCTCTGCCCCATCATGCAACATCCCGGTCGACTAGCGCTCGAAGACGAATGAGCTTCTCGCAGCAGCGAGCTCCAGGTCCAGCAGGTCCAGGAAGAGAAGAGTCCAGGTCGAGGCACCACCCCCATCTCAGGCAAGCAATCAATCTCCTCCCAGTCCCGTCCCTCTCTTCCCATGTTGCCCAGTCCAGTGTCCAGCGTCCCTCGCCCCCCTCCCCCCAGCCGGTTCACATTCAACCAGTCACCCAGTTCCTAGCCCACACAGCTTGCCTGGTTCTAGTTTCCCGTGTCGTACCTAGGATCCGATCCGCACGCACCAAAGGGGAGCCCAGAGGGCCCCAATTGTGTCAACCTCCTCGACCACTCTACCACACATCAACAACCCACCCGCCTCTTACTGCTGCTGCTGCCGCCCAACCTCCCCTCCGAGACGGCCAGACTCCCACCTTCTTGTCATCTTGCAAGAAACACTCAGTACGTTGCCCTAATTTTTCGTCGCGCACTTTTCCGACCATCGTCAAGTTGCAATTGCGGTTTTCCGAGTCCTCCAAGCTGTCGCCGCGCAATTTACTGCCCACTCCTTGTCGGTCGGCTGAGCGACGCGGTAAACAAACCATTGGCCCCCGGGGTCTGGAAGCTGGAGCCGCAAATCAATTGACGAACACCCCCCCGGAAAATCCATCGCGAACACAATCGAGAAGACCCTCTCAGCTAATGCTCATCCCTCACCGCAGTTTTGTCTTCCCCGCGTTTCCCATTTCGATAGCGATACCCCCCGACGCATAGCCCAAAATGTCCGTCAAGTTCGAGAAGGAGACGAAAGAGACGCTGCAAAAGGCCGTCGACAAGGTCCAAGACACCTTCCACCCCGAGAAGCCTCTGCCCGGCACCAGCGGAAAGCATCCCATCTCTGAGGCCATCGGCACTGCCATCACCGGAGGCAAGAAGAATGCAGGCTCCAAAGGCTACCTCGCGGTTCGTCTTACACTCCCTCGATTCCGTCATGCCCGCGAAATCGCCGCCAAGACGCGGCCAAATCCCACGAGAATACACCACTGACGCGGTTACAACCAGGCCTACATCAAGCAGCTCGAGGAGAACCCGCTGCGAACCAAGATGCTCACGGCTGGAACCCTAGCTGGCGCCCAGGAGCTGCTCGCGTCCTTCCTCGCCAAGGACCGCAACAAGCATGGCAACTACTTCACTTCGCGCGTGCCCAAGATGGCCGCCTACGGCGCTATCGTCAGCGCGCCTCTCGGCCACTTCCTCATCTGGGCCCTGCAGAAGACCTTTGCCGGCCGCACCAGCTTGCGCGCCAAGGTCCTGCAGATCATTGTCAGCAACTTGATTGTACGTGGTGTGATTGCTGATATATCGCGATAGAGGAGATGGCTGACTTTCCGTAGATTGCGCCCATTCAGAACTCCGTCTACCTGGTTGCCATGGCTCTGATTGCTGGCGCCAAGACGTACCACCAGGTCCGCGCCACTGTGAAGGTCGGCTTCTGGAAGGTCATGAAGGTCAGCTGGATTACTTCTCCTCTGTGCCTGGCCTTTGCCCAGAAGTTCCTCCCGGATCAACTCTGGGTTCCCTTCTTCAACCTGGTTGCCTTCATCATCGGCACCTACATCAACACCACCACCAAGAAGAAGCGCCTCGCGGCTCTCCGCAAGAAGCACTTCGGTGACGGCCGCTCCGACGGTCGCTCCCCGTCGATGGGAGGTCGCCCGGAGGACTACCCCCCTCCTCACGGCGGACCTCACGGACCCCACGGAGGGCCTCACGGAGGCCCTCACCCCGGCCCCATGGGTGGCCCCAACCCTCCTTACTAAAGGAGACTTTGATGACGGCAAGATTACGCCCCCTTGATGAGATCTAGTAACATCTAATACGAAAACGAGTTCAGTCCTTGGGGCGGAATTCTGGAGTTGAGGGGCGGGGGGCAGTGTGAATGATACGCGAGCAAGAGGCTGGCGGCTTGGAAACGCTGCAAGCGGCCGCTGAGTATCTTTGTACAATTTGCTTGCTTCGTACGTTGCGTCATGTTATATGTCCTGTGTGTCGGTAGATAGGTTCAATGCGCTTGGTTTTATGGTTCGACTTGCTGCATCGGCGTCTATTGTGACTAACTATCGAGTGAACTGCGTTCTAGGCTGGCCTGGCTTGATATCTTTTATATCTTCGTCATGGCCGTATGCTAACGTTCTACCTGGCACTATTAGGTGCTCTTGTGTAGCATGCACTCTCATGATTTCGGCAACAACTGGAGGACTTTTATGTCTCTGAACAACCAGCCCGGTGTAGACCTAGTCATGGACGCGATGTGCCCCCTTGTCCGAATTTTGGACTGGTCAATCGTCGGTGTGACGTGATTCCGCCGGTCTGTCGAACGGAGAAGTGGATATGTGGCTCGTGATGTCTCCGCACGCGGCTCTCAATCCCCGGCCGTGGCCTCTCCGGTGTCCACCATGAACCCGGGACTCCAGTACTCCCATTCCGGACATTGCTTGTCAACCCACAACATGCCCTCGCCCAACAGGTCCTCCAACGCCGTCTGCGCCCGCGCCTTCGGCCACTTCAAGTTGACCATCAGCATGGAGATGCTCACGTACCCCAGCACCTGAACAGCCTCCAGCACGGCACTCTGGTCCGTGTTGAGCTCCTTGGGTATGCTCCGAATGTAGTCCTTGCTTCCGACCTTGATGACGCTGAACGAGCTGCCCAGCGGCTTCAGCGTGCCGACGGCCCTCAGCACATCGTCCTCCGTAACCTCGCTCGCGCCCTCCATCCGGCCCGTCATGATGCGCTCCCGCACCTCACGAACCCCAATCAGACCGCCGTTCTCGTCCCGTGTTGCGCCGCACACCTCGACGACCCGCACCGCGAGCTCAAAGTAGAAGTCGTTAACCGACCGGCCCAGCAGCTGCGCCCATATCGACGACGAGCCGCCCCCGCTGCCCGAGGAAGACGACGACGCGAGGGGGTCGACGCCGATGGCGGAACACATGCGCGCGAACTGCGCGCGGAAGGAGGGGTCGGAGCGGATGTCTTTGGCGTGGGTCTGCGCGAACTGCTGGAGGAGGGAGCGGAAGACGGAGAGCTGCGTCTCGAGGGCCTGGGCGTTGCTGCTGCGCAGGTTCGAGCCATGAGAGGCGTACTGCGCCGAGGTCAGGCGGGACCGGTCAAAGGCCGCGATGCCGATGCCTTTTCGTGACATGCTTTCGGTCGGTCGGTGGTTTAGTGAGGAGGACGGCGGGAGGAGTTTGGATGTGGAGGATGGGAGCGGGAAAAGGGGGGTCTTGGTTGGTGAGCTAGCTTTCTGTTGCCTGTCTTTTTGGGGGGAAGAGGGGCAGAGAGGGAGGTTAATAGAGGGGCGGATATCTTGGTGGACGCTCCGCCATGTCGGTCTTCGTTGGCGCCGACGTCAACAGCAGTTCCGACTCGGCGGGTCTCCCGCTTCGATGTCGCGGGTGATGACATAAGGCAAGCCCGGATGGCTCTCCGGGTCCACGCAGCCCAGACGGCATAGATCACGTGAAGAGGTCCGCCGGCTCAACTCCGGAGGCGCTAAACCCTCTTTCGTCTAGCGCCCCATGGAGGGCACACGCACAACAGCCCTCGCGAAAAATCCCAAATCTTGTCCGTTTCGATATCACCAAAGTACGCGCTCACGATTACCGCTGCGAATTTCCTCACAGTCCCCCTCCATCCCGCAGCAACCATGTCGTCCACCCAGAGCGTCCAGTGCTTCGGCAAGAAGAAGACCGCCACTGCGGTTGCCCAGTGCAAGGTGCGATCCCGAAATTTTTCTGCCTCCCCCTGCCGAACGAAAGAGGCCGTCCCAGAGCGACTGGGGTGGTGAACGAAAATTCGATATCGAACTTTGGAAGACTGACTTTGATGTTGCTTTAGGCTGGCAAGGGCCTCGTCAAGGTCAACGGCAAGCCTCTCTCGCTTGTCCAGCCTGAGATCCTCCGCTTCAAGGTACGAACAAATCCGCGCGAAACAGTCCCAATGCAGAACCGGTCGACAAGAGGAGGAAACCACCACGTGTAGCGGAACTCGGAGGCGAAGAGCAAGGCGCTAGGATGACGGAATACTTCAATGGGAGAGGAAGAGAAGCATCGCGGCGCCTTGCTCTTCACAACCAGCAAGAGGATTGGGAAATGCAAAGACCGAGGGACCGCAAAAGGACATGCATCGAAATTTCGCAACGACAAACATACTAACGTACTCACCCACAGGTCTACGAGCCCCTCCTCGTCCTCGGCCTCGACAAGTTCGCCAACATCGACATCCGCGTCCGCGTCACCGGTGGTGGTCACACTTCCCAGATCTACGCCATCCGTCAGGCCATTGCCAAGTCTGTCGTCGCCTACTACCAGAAGTTCGTCGACGAGCACTCCAAGAACATGCTGAAGCAGGCTCTTGTCCAGTTCGACCGTACCCTCCTCGTCGCCGACAACCGCCGGTGCGAGCCCAAGAAGTTCGGTGGTGTTGGTGCCCGCTCCAGATTCCAGAAGTCTTACCGTTAAACGGTATCTCTCTCTGGCTGGCGTCGCTCTTTCTCCATTTCGTCTGTCGGACCATGGGACATCTACCTCTCCTGGTATCGCGCAGGCAGCTGGGGAAGGTGTGAGTGTGTGGGGAAAAATGGAAATTTGGGCAGAGTGGGGGTTTTCCGGTCCGGTCAGCTTTTGGTGTTATCCCGCGCAGCAAAAAAGACACATCGTTCTTCTTTTTAAACCGGGAGGAGTCAAACGTGGATCAAAAAATGATCTGGTAGCGTCCTTTTCACACGAGATTCGATGGGGGACGTGTTTCCGGAAATGCTCGGTGCGGGTTCGTCCACCGCCCTCATCGATGCAAAATGCAAATGGCATGCCTCGCGGTATCGCTGCTTGGCTTGGGTTTGTAAAGGGTCAGGCAGGCAAATGAAACATTGAAACTTCATGACACGGCGTTTGGGCTCGAGCTATGCGTGTGCCGTGTTTCTTTTCCTTCAAGGTCGACGATCCGCATAAAAGTTATGGTGTAGAGGGCAAGGGAAAAACGAATGACTTTCAACCTTCAAGGTCCATGGACTCGCTTTCCCTGTGATTGCCGACTTGTTTGAGAAGGTCCCCCCGCCCTGATAGCTGTTCCGTTGCCTCGCTCCTTGCCTTCGTTCCTCACGCACCTCCAGCGCCAGCCATTGAATCCAGACCAAGGCATACGCCCAGACAGCATCTAATCAGCTTCCTCTCATTCATGCATGTAATTTCAATCAACATCATCGTGTTATGCCCGGCAAATTCCGAGGAGACCGCCTGGTTTTCCTATGGTGGAGCGGCTGGTTTTCCTTTGGATATACTCTAGCCTACCACCGTGGTCGTCGCTCCTCTCGTCATCATCGTCGTCGAATACGAGTAAAATGTAGCCACGCAGACACAGGGAAATTAGGTCATCCCGAGGCTCCATATCACTTGGTCTTGCCGCTTGCCCGCGCTGTCATTGAATGACAGAACCAACCCAGTCTAGCGATCCCATCGATCTCATGCCAGCCATTCACACTTTACTTCACCACCTCACCACTCTCGCCAACCTCACACAAGACCTTAGACAAAATCCTTGACACGACGATGCTTGCATGAATAGGGACTTAGCAGACACGGAGCATAACAACGTCGTCTGGCAGTAAGATGCGTTCATGTTAATGAATTATCAGAAAAAAAGAAAAACTAAAAAAAAAAAAAAGGACGCAAGAATCTACCCCGCCACCACCGTAGAGGTAAGTAGAGGTAGGTGACGACAGAGGCCAAAAGAGTGTGATCAGTGGGAGGCTTGAACTCCCGGCCTTGGCATTACTGAACATCTCAGATGAGATATTAGTACCACGCTCTAACCAACTGAGCTAACCGACCGAACTGAGTTGTTCAGATGTTCTTGTGGGACGCAGTGAGATTGAGCCCTATCATGCGCCCACAGATCCAAAGGTGGGGCCGAAATGACTCTCTCCCACACAGCTTCCCAGAGCTGCACGACATGGATGGGCATGGGTGGCAAAGCGCAGCAATAGTACACCTATCCCACGGTGTTAAAGGTTAGCGTAGTACTTGCGGGGCTTCGTGATATGGAAAGCCCCGCAAGAACCGCACTAACCTTTAAGACCGTGGGATAGGTGTATGAATGGTCCGAAGATGGACACGTCAGGGCCGAAAATATATATCACAGAATTAACTATATGGTATTTAAGGTACTGAATGATATTTAGAAGAGAAGGCAAAGCCAATCGTGGGTTGCCAAGATGTTACAAAAAACAAGCACACACTATATTCTGAAGACCACAGTAAGAACTAATATCAATAGCATTTTGTTTTGATGCGTATGTTCTGCAGACAGCTGAAGAACTATTCCACATGAAAGCTAGAATCACCAACAAACAAAGAACAGCAATGGGACCGAAAAATGTTCATGGACACTGCGTATCACACTACCCTTCGGCTGGAACACCACGTATTGTTTCTCGTGGAATGCGATGCGTCAGCCCAAGAGACTCGGAGTGGTTGAGAACTGAAAGACTTGCTTTTGAGAATGCTTCACAGCACTACTGGGAATATTTATAAGATTCTAGCCTCAATGTTGAGTTGGTCTGTCTGCCGGCAGATGCGTTCTCGAATCTATTCGGCAGGTGAATTACTTCTTTCTCGTGAGGGCGAACGTTGCACCATGTCTATGAGATGAATGAAACATCAGTCCTGAACTGAGGTCACTTAGTAAGAACATTGGATGGTGCCCAGTCTTAGATGCCTTGGTCTCACGAAGTTGTCCTGGGGATAAGTTCATGATTGATTCGGGACTGTGGTGACATCTTTCACAGATTTATTCCATTGTCTGAGGTGCTCTCGGACATATACCGTTTCCAGGAAAGCTGAAGTTACTCCCACAATAACAGCAGGTATTCCTAGTGTATTTCTAGCTGTTACTATTGTTTCAGTGTATTTCATAGAAACCGCCGGGTTCAGCAAGCAAGATCATGTACGTAAGTAGTCGTCCAAAGAACGCAACCCTCTGCTGTCTCAGCTATCGATTTTTAGCACTCCTCTCGACCTCTTTTTGGAGTTCTGGGTATCCGTTGGCTTCTTCGTCTGAGTTTTTAGTGGTCGGAATACACCGCAAGTCATATCAAAGCAACAAGCAAGGTCGACGCAATGCCTGGCCGAGATCCTGGAAGATCAGCCTTGACATCATGATTGGCAACGGCAAGACACGTGTGGACGACGATGATTGCCTGCATCCACGAGTTTTTGATTCACATGCTTAATTTATGGGAGATTTTCTTCCCCGGACTTGATGGCAAGGTTTGGGCCTTGGTAACTCCTTTCATCATGGTGAAAGTGAGCAGCACGCTCGCACGACGCTGGCCAACAAAATCGATGAGTCCTCTTTGGAATTTCCCAAGATGACTCTCGTACCACATCACAGACGTCGACGCCATTGCATTTTGCAGCAACCCCACGTCCATTTGATGGACACCAGCATTAGCCTGCTTAAACTACGCAACATGTTGATGTTATGTTCATTCATGCACTAGGACAGTCCTCGATAGTGTTTCCGAGGTGAAGTCGCAGGCAAAATGTACGCAACGCTGCGTTCCCTTACCCAGAGATCTGAATATTTGAGATACGTTGGAGTCAATCTAATGATCTCGTAGCACGAGTTCTCTCCAAAGACTTCCAACCTCCGACGCATGTTCTTCCGTATTCGGTAGTACAATCTTGCAACAGCTGAGCCAAACAAGATCCCCAGAACTAAACTATGACTGTCATCCGGTTAACTGACAGCCCACAAACAGCACCATCTTGCTGAGAAACTCAGCGTGAAGAGACGAACGACGAATCAACAGCAGACCTTGCGATGGTGCCTCGATGTCGAATATCAGAGGCGAGTACTGATCGTCATCAACCCGTTTCTCTGGATGCATCATAAGTCCTTCATGCAGGCTATGCTTGGACCGCAACATCCCTCAAATACTCACGAGTTGTTCTTTTGCCTTTACCCAGTATCAAGAACCCTCGCAAACGGATAAATATTCGTCAAGTCTACGGTGAAGCAGCAAAACTCTGTTGACAACAGCATATTGAGTAGATCATCGCCCAAGCAGTCTTCTTTAAAACCCAGGTTGTATCGAAGAAATGCTTTCCAACAGCTGCTGACTTCTTTGGGTCGACATCGAATGCCTTCCTCAACTGTCGGATTCTTATCCATTGGTTTCACTTGCTGATTTTGAATGCTAAACTGAGCGCGTCCTCTTTGCATTGTTTTCGACATCATCACAAGATTTACCAAATGTCAGCGTAGAAATGAAGCATTCATCCCCTTCGTTTCCGAAAGATTTTGGCCAGTAGTCTTGATGCTGCTAACATCTTCGCACACTGCCAGACTTGGTCATGAACCCTACATCTTCCACTCCAGCTACATCGCTCTGATGCCTCTCCTCTCCCATGCGTCCTGGAAAGACGTGAAACCAGAGCAAGTTGTATCGACGAACTAACAATAGAGCCCAAAGCAGCCGAGACCGACGCATGTTACTATCTCTTGGAACATCAACTCATCATCGCCGAGACTTGTCTTGATCCTACGAAGGCTCTGTTCTTCGGGAAGGCATCGTGGGAAGTGAACCTGACACAACACACAACAATCATTCGACAGGAGAGAACAGAGTGATGGTCTGAGGTCATTGTGTTTGCGAAGACAATCAGTCACGGGCATCGTCGTCCGCGCGCCCCTGACCAAACGGTTTGTCGCTCTCTCTTCTTCTCCCTGTCAGGAAAACAGCCAGATGAGGTCGAAATAACACTCAAAAGGGGCAGCATCTATATCTTGAAAACGCGCGAAGACTGGGTTCGCTGTCATGGCCTATCATCGTCATCCTCTTCCCAGCCCCTGACCGCATCACGATTATCACGTTTGCAAAAGGAAACATACGAATGATTGGGCGTTCTGCTTTTTGTTGTTGCGAACCCAAATCCCAGTCTCCCCGTGAACCAGAGCGTAGCGATACACGCCAAGCAGGCCTCACATCACCAAAAAGCCTCACGAACGCGACCTGCGTCCTTCAGATCCAGCCTGTCCCTCACCCCTGAGCCCCTTCTTGAACACACAATCATCCAAATCATCCATTGCTTCAACTCAGTTGAATCTTTTCTTCATATTCGTGATTCACTTTCTAGGATTGAACGATCTTTACGCGCCCATTTCACCTCCATCGACGCGTTCGGTAGAATATCTGCCACGATACCCACAAGCCTCAAGATGCCCGTCAAACCTGTCAAATCTGCCCCCAAACTACGCCGCCCGTAGCTCAGCGACGGCACCAAAGACCGGACACTGAACGAAGAACCTGTCCAACACCAGGTTCGAGCGGGCTTCATAGACCACCAAGACGGTCGAACGCCACTCCCTCGCCTGGATCGTTGACGGCGTCAATCAGGGTCCTCCTCCACCACAAGATCTTGACGTGAGATCTCTGTCTGTCTCTTTGCATTTGTGTTTC